GCCCCCTGGGGCCAGCAGCGACAAACTCATGGGCCCCACCGGCACCCGCCATACCAAAGCAGATCCAGGAAAGGGAGCAGGACCATCAAGGTTAAATTTTTTTCTCATCAGAGAAGACAACTTTCTTCCACCTTTCAATGTCCCATGTTTGGTGCACCCTTGCAAAGTCCAAACGGGCAATTTTGTGGCATTGAAGAAGACGTGGCCTTTGAAGACGTTTTTTGTTTCTGAAGCCCTTCTCTCACAGATGCCGTCTGATGGTTATTGGGCTGCAGTCAGCACCAGTATTGGCCTTAATTTGGATAGAGGATCGTCCCGTGTCTTGACGGACAGCCAATCGGATCCTGCGGCTCAGAGCTGGTGAAATTTTTGTGGGTCTACCACTTGATTTTTTTTGTTCTATAACCCTCAGGATCATTTAAAAAATGCAAAATGACTGTCTTTCTGCGTCCAACTTCAGCAGCGATGGCACGTTGTGAGAGGCCTTGCTTATGCAGCTCAACAACCCTGCCACGTTCAAAGTCAGTGAGCTTTTTTACTTTTGCCATCAGGAGGTCTTGACAGTGTAAAGACTTGACAGAAAATGACATGGAATCCAGATTTTTGCACAGCTTTTGGCTTTTAAAGACTATGGTCTTAAACTTTTGATCAGCTGAAAAAATCATGTTTGAGTGTAAATGCAGTTTTCAGACAATTCCCTGCTCAAAAGTTCTTGTCTCTTGCACTGATTTCTTGTTTTAACATTGTGAAGCTCTCCTTAGAACCTTCTTAAGACCCAACAGTGCAAAATGCAAATTCTTGCACTTTTTTGACTGGTCTTAAGATTTGTTTTTATGTAGTATTTCAATTAATGTGAGGACATATGAGTTTGTTTAGGTCAACTTACCAGGAGGGCAAGTTTTTCTGTTAACAGAGATAGCCATGTGGACTTTTCCTTTTAAGAGATTCTATTTTACTGTTCCAGACTGAGGACACTATAAAACACCATAAAAACAAATGTTTTCAATCCTTTCCTCACAAGCCATATGCCATTTGAAATCTTCATTGATTAAGAAGTCACTCACCAAATTTTGACTGATGTTTAGAATGGATCTTGAAACAAAATTGATTTCTTTTTGCACAGATCATGACTTCCACCATCCCCTTTCAATCTTTATTTCAAGAATGTAGACAAAACTTCCACTTTTTTCCTTAAAATTTGACAGCATACTCCTTTAAAACAAGAATGGTTCACATATTAATTGTTTTGTAAAATGTGATACTCCTCAAACAGAAAATGCTAGAGATTTAACTCCCTCCTGTGGAAGTGAAAAACTGAACCTTAAATGATTGATTACTTTGGTGAAGAGTTTGTCTACAAAAGAAGCAATAATAGTAAAAAAAAAAAAAGAAGACAAAAAAGAAACAAGTATCACATATGTGATGAAAACAGCTTAAAATAAGATTAAATTAAGATTTAAAATACTTTTTAGTCATTTTTTGATCTTTTTTTGTCCAGTTTCTTCAGATATAAAAATCACTGGCTAAAAATAGTTCTTAAGATTATTTACAAATTTTAACTGAATTCATGTGTCATTTGGTAGTTTAGATTGCATTCTCTGTCTAGAAAACCTGATGCTGTTTGAGATACTGTTTTTATGTTAAGTATTACACATAAATTATAATGTTCTGCCTAACTACGGAACAATGAAAATACATCTGCAACCTCAAAAACTTATTTTGACAGTTTCTTCAGATTTAAAAAAAAATTTCTGGCTTACCTTTGGAATTTTTTGCCACCAAGTATTGTTGGTCTTCAAAATATCCCCTGTATCCATCAAAGGATATTTCACCCACATCACAGTGAACATAAGCTTCCCCTGTAGCCTTCAAGGGAATACTCCTAACTTTGGTGTCTTTTGTTAGATTGAAGGGCACCGTGCCCACGATTGTATCTCCCTCAGAAAAGAAACCTTCATTGTCAAATGTGTCACTTTCTTTATTGGAGACATTTTAAACTTGGTGTTCAACCTCCAGTCTGGCTGTTCTACACCCTGGTCTTTATGTTTTATCACTGCAACCAGCTCCTCCCCAAAGTGAACCACATAAAACACCAACATTTCTATTTCAGAAGTTGAAACACATGATGGTCAGTGTAAGCAAACCATCCATCACACAAAAGACTGGAAAGGGAAGTGGTATTTAGTCTTTTACTAAGTAGTCACTGTAACAGTTGAATGCACACTAAAGATTTTTATTCTTATTGCAACGCACAAAATCGGACATTACTGATGCATGTATATATA